AACCCAATTGATGATTTACGTTCACTGAAAATCTTTGCCTAAAGAGGTAGATGCAAGATGGTACTTGCAAGCAAATCAATGCACAAGCGACAAAATAATTGTTCCTCCAAGATAACCGTCTTTAATTACCTTTCCAGAATCTTGTAAATGCCAGCTAAAAATAGCTCTGGATGATAGCAGTGTAGTAAAAATAAAAGTACTTTTCAGTAAAAGTGCCTCTGTCACTTGTTACAATCGGAAATGATTCCCTCTGGAAATGAATCTCTTCTAGCCTTTCACGCCTGAAAAAGGTGTAATTCTACCTACTAGATTGTCGTTCAGTCAAAGCTCTCGGCTTTTTTGTCAAAAGAAGCCGTTTTCTTCAGACTTTACAAAATGAAACGTTGCAGCAGCCTCATTGTATCATGCCGCCTCCCTCTCACCAATCAGCGATGCTTTGAAGAAAAACATACTTGCAACAGAATCGTGCTGGCAAACCTGCTTTTTGATAATAATATATTTGGCCATGGTTGTTTATATTCTGTTGATTTTACGGATTGCGTTTTTAGCGTAAACATACTTTTCTATAATAAGAAATCAATTAAATCAATTTGGTCCTCTTTAAAGGCTATAGAACGATGGGTTATCCTATAGAAGACACATTGGCCGCATTGCTATCATGACCGCATTACTAATATTTGAAAAATAAGTCTAAATATTCGCCGTTTTGAAATATGCACCGTATCCACAAAAACTCAATATTTGGCCTGTAAACAGTAATTTTCGGATTCAGCGGCTCAAAATTATGCAGAATGCACTAGTTAGAAAATATGAGTCACATGGTTTAGCCCTTGCATTGATTACTAGGCAATTTTCAGCAAAAAGTTCCTGGACAATGGAAGGGGAACTCAAAATGGCGAATTTTTGTGTGACACAGTGTGAAAGTAAAGCAATCTGGACAAATTTTTGCGGATGAAATTTTTCCGGCACAATGCAAATAAGGTCAGTTATTTGACACGGTCCTAACACTTTTTGGCCTCTCTTGCAGTAATGAGATTTGTCCCAGGATTCACCAATGATTGCGCACTCGTTTACTGAAGAGTTTGTTGCATCTATAATGCATTTAGCGTGAGCCTCATATATCTAGGCCTGGTCCTCAACTTGCAGACAAGAAATTTTTCAGTTTTGGCTCCACAATGATCACAATACTTTTTCTTTGAAGAGTTTTGGACAAAAAGTGATCCAGTGTGTCATTTTCCGCTATTTCGTACCATCTTCAAAGACATTTTTCTCAACAATTGTAAAAAATTACAATCTGATCCCTTTTCTGATTGCTAGTTTTTCCGGTATGCTCGCTATTGAATTAAAGTTGGAACAACTGAATTTTTCGCACTCGAAACTTTTTACTAGCCTCAATATGTAATTTGATGGATTTTGTCTTAAGTACCCGGATTGTCGTAACTGGAATGTCAATATACTGAATTTTTTGTCATATTGATTCATGCAATAGAAGATGGAATACAACTAACACGATGTCTTTTTTTTCGCCGTACTGGCTATTTACCTGATCATTAAGCAGCCATCTTTTTTAGGGCTCTTGGATAGAACCGTGTTATTTCGGATAGAAAGGCTTCCTTTTTGCAAATTTCTCCGTTACTTAGCGGTTTAGCTAAATATTGTTTTGGACAAGATTCTTTTTGCAAATCTGGCGCCATACTCCCCTGCGAACGAATATCGGTATTCATTCCAGCCCACTTGTGTTGGCCATTCTATCTGATTGTATTCCAGGCAGGTGCAAAGTATTGTACTTGTTTCTACCTAGAATCAGAAGGTAGATTTTAGGACACTGAGAAGCTTATGCTTATCGAGCAGTGTCCTGGTCCTTCCTCTCGATGTTACCACAGCTCGTTATTCCTACGCATGGAATTACAAAGAGTTGGTGACTCTCCTCGCTCTGGGTGAAAGTTTGCTCATGCCAGGGACTCGAACCACAAACCCTTGAACAACTGACCATTTTCGCAACTGAGCAGGTGCAAAGTGGGTGTACTAGACTTTTCATGCTCATCCGCCAGAATAAAAAGCAAGACGAGATATCGGATTAATAATGTTTCTTATAATGTTTCCTACGCATGGAATTACAAAGAGTTGGTGACTCTCCTCGCTCTGGGTGAAAGTTTGCTCATGCCAGGGACTCGAACCACAAACCCTTGAACAACTGACCATTTTCGCAACTGAGCAGGTGCAAAGTGGGTGTACTAGACTTTTCATGCTCATCCGCCAGAATAAAAAGCAAGACGAGATATCGGATTAATAATGTTTCTTATAATGTTGCTAGGGACATACTGGGTCAAATGTACAAACTTCATGTTAGACCCCATTTAAATTATGACCAAAAGTCTCACATCCAAGTAAGCGCAAACTCAGTATTTGGCCGCCTCGGCAGTGAACGGTGCATGGAGAGGTATGAATAGACAGAGGCTGTCAGAGGAACTGGGTTGGGAAAGCTTCTATCATGGTATTGATTATTGTGCCAAGTTAAAGCAATCGAAAAATCCTAATTTTGCATGCAGAAATCCCACTCATGACTTCAATAGACTATGACTTCAATATCAGCTTAAATCCATCAATGAACACAGACTTAGGCATAACGTTGAATGTCGGGACCATTTCTGTGCTTGCGGCGGAAATGAATCTTGTATCTTGAGATAACGAGCACAATTCTCTGCATAGCCCTCTCCAGCTCTTTGTCCTTCATGGTGTTGACATTAAGTACTTGAATTCTAGGAATATTTGCGAATTACTTCTCTTTGATAGCCCAAACGTAAACGTTATTGTGAACAGAATAATTTTTGGAGCGACTGTTTCCAATATCAAATCAACTAAACAATGAAGCTAGAAAATCGGTATCCATTAAATTACAGTGCGCCCTAAATGGTGATTCATAGAGATGTTTCTTTGATGCATCTGGTACACCTCAAGTTTTGTAATGTTTATTTTATTTGTTGAATAAGTTAGTCCTTGTATTTAGTCATTGTAAGTGTTGTTCGTCGTGAGAACTCTATAACCTTGTGTTTTCTCTCGCTACCAACGACATTAATCTATTTATTTTATTATTACATGGTGATATAAAATGACCCCCTTCCTGTGACAATCATTTCGCAAAAAGACCCCATCATCATTGAATTTACGTGGACATAATTTATCACATCCGACGCCGATTCATTTGTCATTCCTAAGGATCTCCTCCAAGTAAGCTGGCCTACATTTCGTGTGAAATTAAATGCTGGACTACAAGGAATTGCATACAGCGCATGGACCTCGCTTTGGTCAACTAGCCCTTAGGTCAGCTGGACAACCTCGTGTTGAACAATATGAGCAATAGAAAATGGATAGAACATTAAACCGCACACATTTAGGAAATTTAAGGTATGAGGTATTGCTTAAACCACGGCACATCGTGAAGTGCTTTCTTGACTCTGACATCATCGGATGGCATGCAATGAATTACGCGATCTGATTGGACTCTTCTACAATAACCCTTTGTCCGTATTCAACCAGTTAGCTGCGTCTATCATTTTTCAAACTTTGTGAAAATATTCCTTAAAACTTTTTGTTGCTTACAAGCTAAAATATGAAGTCGCTGTCACGAATTTAGGTACTTATCTAACCTTTTTTAGCAACAAGCCTGAAAGTTTAAGAAAATTGAACAAGCCTTATCCCTTGCAGCTTGAATGGAGAGTCAAATAGAGTAAGATTCCTTCTGCTTTCAGACCACAGATCCCTACCGATATCAATGATCATGAAAATGCCCTTAAAGTTACGATGTAACGAAACCTATGGTTAAATTATTTGGAAATAGGGAAAGGAGAGCTATGAAACTGGCTTTGAAAAAAGCAATCCTTTCAGAGCGTACTAAAGCTTTTTTGTTCTCGAAATGTCAGAATAAGGGGCCGAAAACACAAGATGGGAAAATACATTCACAATTTTGGACTGAAGTTGCCAAAAAAAACTTTTGGAATCGATCTACATACAAACAAAAAAGGCCACTACTGTGTAAAAAGTAGGAGTTCGTTGTGGATCGCAGAAGGCCATAAATGATAAATAGAGAAGGAATTCATGAAAGACCTATCTATTTGCCTATAACATTATAATTTTATTGAATAATGGTCCACAGCAGTGACATTTTCTAACTCTATAAAGTAGATAAAATGATTTTTTCAAAGGCATAAACTTTGAGGAGGGTGATCCAACAAAGTATGAAATTGAAATAAGTTTAGCGATCATAATCCCAAGTACTTGAAATCAGATGATAATTAATGCGCATAACTGCATCAACCGTGTATTGTGTGTAGAAAAAGTGTTCTGAAATTTCTTTATTGAACATGGAACATATTTCCCTTAATGCGTCTGCTTTCTTAAACGGCAGAACATTGAAATGAAATCGACCGTCAATGTTGCAGAAAATTTACTTATTGTTTGGTCGTCAGAGCAGCTGTGAAATTCAAGAAAATACAATGTGTTACTTACTTGTACGAATGTGAAATCGCCATCCGCAAATAAGTAACCTTTCTAGAAAAGCTAAACTCGAGGAGGACCTACAGCATATGACATTGCAGCTCAATCTGGCTAATAATCTACTTACCCTTGCTTAGTGAGCGACTGATATCGAGTATGTCACAAAGAAGGGTTGATTATTTATAATATCCTGATACGAGTTCCTTTTTCAGGAATTGTATTCTGCAAAACGGCCATTTTTGCTTAATGTCTTAATTTCAAATGAATCATCTTCTAAGCTGTTCACGTTAAAAATACAAGCACTTCACTCATAGTCATATATGCAGCATAATACATTCTTAAATCATGACATAGCAAAAATTTAGTGCGTTCCTCTTTATTTCACAGGTTTCTTAAACGTGTCCCAGCGATAAAGCTATTATGCTGGTGATTACACTGACATACACGTTGCTCATTGGCTTTCCTGTATTCAGGCCTCAGAATACGATATACATACCACGAGGCTATCAATATGTAAGCGATATCATAGTTTATTTTTTCTGTCAATTTCATGGTGGTGATAAAACGTTCACAAAGTCTGTCTAGCTGGAAACAGCGTTGTGTTTGTTTTTTCAATGAAAATGATGTTTATATTTGACTATGACCTGAAATTCACGAAACCAATGGATGAATAGCAACCAATTGATGTCAATTGCGCAATAAATCGATAAGTAACAACCAGTATATGTCTCAGTTGCGCAATAGATCGATGCGCAACAACCAGTATATGTCAATTGCGCAATATATGTTGCTTAGCAACCAGTATATGTCAATTGCGCAATAGATCGATGAGTTGCAACCAACAGATGCCCAACAATTACGGACCAAATACAAAATGTCGCAGCAAACATATTTCAAACAAATTCTTGCTTGTTGATGCTAGGACATCGCCTCTGCTTTGCTCTAGCATTTTGAAACCAAACCTGTAGCACTCTTTTTGATAGACCGAGTCTTTGGGAAAGTCTTTGAAGCTCGGCTGTGTCAGGATTTGGGTTCAAGTCAAACACTGATTTCATTTCCTTTAGTTGGTCTTGCCTAAAAGTCGTTCTATGTCTCTTGCGCTTATTTTTGCATATGTTATTAGATTTTGCTTTCATCTGCTCTGGTGCCATGATACTGCTATGATTGAATGGCGAATTTATATGCAATACATCACTCGAAGCATTGCAGGCAAACTGTGGTGTCTCCAATGATAGATATCCTCTTGGTGAATCACTTAGCGCGTCTATCTGAAAGTCTGGGGTATCTTGAGTCTGAAATAGACTTGACCGGAACAACGTCTGTTCCAGCGAATAGCAGAAATATGCAAGAAAATCATTCTCTGCGCAATAAGATAAGTTAAAATCATTATCTCTAACAAGATTTGTTTAAAATTGTAGTTGGCCAGCTATGAGCCGTAACTTGCAGACATGAATTGAAAAAACGGTCTTCACCGTGCTTCGCTTGACGTCCAGAAATTTATGGTTATGGCTAGTACTACTTTGCAAAATCTAGCAACAACTGCTTCAAAGACTTGCAGATCCAAAACATTGAGGTAGCTGGTAAGGACTATAATCAACTGGCAGATACATCTTGAATAATTCCTGTTTATTATATTATTTACATCTATATGTATGATGTAGTGTATATGTATGATGAAAAATTGTATGAAACGTTTTAACGAGACAATATGAAAAAATGTTGCATGGATGTCAGTGAGAATTAACTATTGTTCATCTTACTAGGTAAGTAAATGTAAAATTTTGACAATGAAAACAGAAAAGTGGATTGGAAAATTACCTGTACGTTCAGAGTCCCCTCTTGCCTTCTCCTTTTTCAATTGGAACGTTGCATCAACAAAATGTTGCTCGCAGAAAAGTGTTCCAGCAATAATTCCGTACTTTCTACCTTCTTCTAGTTTTGCATGGCAAACACTGCATTGAAAACATCTCCAATGGAAGAATATTCCATCGCATTTCATTACCATTTCAGAGTTTAGAATGACTGCCTTGCATTTGTAACACTCTTCCCTGGATCCAGCGCTGCGTTCAAGAGGAAAGAAGAATTACTGATTTGTTTGAATCATTTTAAGTTCAGTACTTAGCAAAATAGTCACGATGTGGTTCAAATGCCGAAATATTCAAAGCAGTATTTTGCAGAAGGTCAATAGAGGATATAAGTACCGTAGTATTTGATTCATCAATTTACTAAAAATTCAATTGAAGAAAAAATTACCCTGTTACTGAATTCTGTTTTTTGCAAAAAATCATCGGGGTATACAATCCAGCAAATAACTAAATTATTTTAAAAGATCTATTTATAGGGACGTCTATAAAACTTAAAATAACATTCATAGGGAAAGTATATAAATCCAGACAAAATAATTATTTGGCATTTCTATGAATTGAAGCAATGTTAAGGGACGGAAGCTTCTGTTATTATGCTCTTACCTGCAGTAGCAATCTTTGCAAAGCGACATCCCATTGGTTTCATAGTAAGAGTCATGGAGAATTTTCCAACAAAGATTGCACTGGCGACGACTAAAGTTGTGGCTTTCATGCTTTGTATTTTTATCCCCAGCATCTTGAATCAGCATCGGTTCCTTCAGGAGAAATTGAAAAAATTCAAACACATATTCTCCAAAAGTCAAAAGTACAAAGTCAAAAACTATTTATTGTTGCACGATTGCAAGGATAAACTAAAGTGGTTGAGTTTTTTTGGAGTTTGGGAAGATAAATTGCGAGAGATCGACTTGCATAAAGAAAAATGGAAAGTATCCTGACCGTCATACGTCTTGCCTGCATAGTGCAAACGAATATCTGTTATTGTGTCTTATCTGGATTTCTCTGGCTTTTTCTTTAAATTCACGGTATGCATCGTGAAATAACAGTGAAAGAACAATGGATATCATGTCAAATTTATCTATTTACCACTTTTCTCAGCTTCTGTATTATACAAGACAACTGTAAAATCCAAACTGCAAGGAAACTAGCCTACCTCATGCTATCTACACCCACATACATAATCTCAGCACAAGAATAATATTCACCTGGATTTCATTAAAAAGCTCTACCACCTAGATATTTTCTATTATTACGGCTTTTTAGTTACACAAAGTCCAACCAACTTTTACTGGATGTTCCGTTTATCGGAAAAAAGGCATGCGCCAGTCGGACACACATACTTCAGCTTCTGTATTAATCAAGATAGCACAAAAGTGTTGCAAAACTATACGAATTGTACCAGCAATTCATAGTGTTTTCGGAACAATCGATTGAAGCTAATGCTAAAGTGTAAAACGTATCAACGAAGTGAAATGGCGCAAATGTGAATAAGCAATCTATTATTTGTATTTTCTATATAGTGTAAGCAAAAAGTAGAAAGATGCAATGAAATAGGTACCTTTGTAAGATTGAAGAGAACGTGAAAATACTTTACCATCGAAGCATCATTTAAATTAGTGTATCACTCTTTTTAGCTTATTTGCAGTATAAATTATCAAAAATACTACAATCTTCCAAATACGTCGGTGCGAAGTCTCAAAGAAATTGTAGTTTGAAATTTGTTCTTTTACTCGAGAAATAATAATTTCTAAATCGTTTGCCCCACCGACAAATGTGACATTAACAGTTGCAAGTGTTTATGACTTATCAAGTAAAGATTCCAAACAATGAATTGTCAGGGTTTCCTCACCAGTTACTCAATAAAAAGATATCCCCAATTAAAAAGAAGTAAAGCAATCTGACATCCACTGCCTGATTCAAGACGATTAAAGTAATGTTTGCAAATCGACATGAATTGCAAGATAATGGTTAGCATTTACAGGTATACGCGAAATTTGCATACCTTTTTGCATTTGTGTACTTCGCAAGAAAAACCGTTCGTGATTCGCAAACGGCTGGTAGAATTCTTATTTGCCCATATTTAGTACCTATTGCTCTTTCTATTGCTCTTTCACTATAACTGAATGTTGTTGACTTGGTGGCAATGATGCATAAGACCTGTACCTTATATAATGAAATAAACTTTCAGATGTTCGAAATGAAAGTAAAAGGGAATGGAGGAAGGCGAACTACGTTATTTAAAAGCTACGAGCTTCAATCGTGGAAGGGATAATAAGTAAGATCGAAATAAACGCTTGCTTTTGAATATCAGTTTAGCTAAGATAACAGCTTATGTCTACAAATTTGGGCTGGCAGACTTTTCAGCTGCCAAGTGACACTTTTTGCCAACCCAGCTGCTTCTGTAAAAGTAGCTTTTTAGCAGAATCAATCCAACAGCTGCACCTGCTCCTTTGCATTTCATGGAACGTTGCAAAATGGCAGCTCAGAGGCAAAAAAGTCTCTCGTGAACATTTTCTGCATTGTATTTTCTTTCTCGTGAAAATTTAAAAAAGGAATGTAACATTTATGTTTAAGATTTTGAAATGAAAAAGACACTGACCTAACCCACGAGACCAGATGATAAAAAATAAAAAATTATATAAGCTACCAAAGCCTTGCACCTTTTATAAGCAATGTCTCTACTCAATAATTACATTTGGATTTGATTTCTCTGCTGTTTAGCTCCTATTACGAACTAGCGCTCAGAAGTCCCTTCAGCAAATCCAAAATGTAATTAAAGAGGTATTTTTTCGAGTTGCTTCTTTATGCAAGAGGAAAGGAAGCTCTTCTTCAATTTTGCGTTGCCTGCTGTTTTTTCAATTAAGATTAGATAAATTATAATGATAATTGTTGTTACCTCGGGAAGGGCACATCTTGAAATATTTCTTGCAAGATTGACGTAGTTAGTGAAATGATTTTGTGAATATTTTTCGCAAACTGTAATTATCAAGAAAATTTGCAAACAAAAGAATTTATGCATTAATGGAGTTTGCTCTCTTTTTGTTGTTTTTCATCACCAATTACATTACTTTTCCAAAAGAAGCTTTAATTACATAAAATTTTGTCATGGTTTCCTAGACCGTTCCAAGTCACATATAAAGTCTAGCTTGCTCCTTGATCAATCATTACATTGGAAAGGGAAAGAATTCTTCTAACGGTCTTTAGAGACTTTCTTTTTCATATTTATGACAATACACCAATTATTGCACAGTAACAACAAAAGGTCCTACGGCTGCGTTAGCATCGTCCATTGCTAGCTGGTCACTACAAACTGAGTTAGACTGCGATTTAATCAAAATTCAAGACCTCCGAAGGACTGCCACAAAGGAAAGAAACACGATACAGGATAACGAATTGGCCTACTTTAAATTTGATTTTTGAAAAGTTTAAGAATGGGCCGCTGTAGAGCAATATCGATCTCGTGAAATGATAGATTTGTGACAGCAAAGCATAGAATCTATCATGTTATAATACGTTGGAATAATTATCTATAGAAAAATCGATCTCCGTGGGTATCGACTGTTCGTTTAATAGTGACTTTTTGTTTGACCAAAGCTCTATAGATTAGAGACTGTGCAAAAAATTTGGTGACTGTATTTTTATAATCATTATCGGAACAAAGCATCACAAAATGAAAGGGGAAGAGATAGTGCTTGCAAAGCAAATTAAGTGACTCTGTCTCAGTGTATGATTTACATAAATAACAAGGCCGTGCATAGCGGGAAGAGGGGTTCCAGGGCATTTGCTCCCTCAGCTCCCCCCCCTCAGAACTTTTGACGGATTAGTAATATGCATGTTACTTATGAGGGCCGTGCATTGACTTTATAGAAAAAAATTGCAACCAACAGTTGCTGGAACAAGTCTTTTGAACAACGTTTTTTTTACCTTGCACTGTAGGCATAAACAATATCAACATTGAAATGTTGAATTGGATTTTTTGATCTTGTACAAACTGACTGTGCCCTCTAATCTACAAATCAATAGAGAAATGAACTTTGAAGCCTAAAACATATATTAATCTATATTCAGTAACGAATTCGCTTTGCCGGAAACCATCAAAAAATGGCACCTCTCATATTGCAATTCGTAATATCCAAGACGCAGAATGCGCAGGGATTATCACAATCAGGCCCCTTCCTCTAAAAAAGGATCATTAAAGAAGTTAGAATTATTTGAGGAAAAACACGAAAATGATTCGATAAATTTTTAGGAAAATGACAAGAATTTTATGGGATAGGGTCAAGAGAAAGGAATTATAAAAAAATTGTTACGTTAAAGGAATTTTTGCAGGAGCCAGATACCATTAACTTGCTAAATTTACAAACGGAGAAAGAGAAACCATTAAAAATTAAAGATGATAATGTTGACAAGGGGGCTGAAACAGACACTTGAATGTCCATTGAAAAAAAGCAGCCCCGATACTTCAGGCTTTGTCCCGGCCACTATGTTGGGTAGATTTTATCTTGATCTGATGGATATCCATAAAAAAAAGTTGCATGAGCGCATAAAGGTGTAGCGATATCGAAATAAGTTTCAGGTGTAGCGATATCATCTGTTTGTCCCGCTATGCAGATCTTTATGTTTAGAAATTCTGTATTTGTAAAAAGAATGCATTGTTTCCTTGACGAAAGTTTGAAGAAGAATGTAATGCTCTGAAGGTCGTTTTGTATCAATGCCAACAAGAAGTATTGTTGAGTCTGGTAAACAAAAACAATAAACATAAGCTTTGTAAACTGTTAACAGGGGTTAGAGGGAGGAAGGGGTGGAATGGGTGAGCAGCATAAACTAAAAAAATATTTGTTTGTGTCTTTTTCTAAATGGGAATAACGAAGAGAAACATTTATTTTAATTTACTTGACTTTCAGAAGCTCTGTACTCCCTGCCCGGAACTTGGATAAAAAACCCGGAATCCTTAAAAGCATTGCTAAAATGAGAACATCGCTAAAATGGTTAAGTTGCTAAAACAAGAAATTTGCTAAAATCAGCACATTACTGAAATGAGAATGAACAACAAAAAATGTATGGTGTTTTCAACTTGCATCGAATACATAGTTCGCTGCTTGATAGGTCAATACATATTTCTCCTATTCGAAAACATCGATCAATCAGTACATCAAAGTTTGACAGCCTTTGAGGACGTGCTTTTAAATATTTTTAATGAAAGTCCATCATAAAAATGATTCAAAAAATGGAAAAACTGCTTTGTTTTTCAAATAGGGAATGGAACCAGGCTACATCGCTCCTGCTGCAAGAGAACTTCAAATATCTAGCGATTGGTTCTTTCGAGTACGCTCGGGGCATCCAAAATACTTTTCTTTTGCCCCCAAGATTCATATGAAAGAGAAAGGAGCTGAAAGAAGACGACCAGCTAAAGACGCTTTTGCCAATTGGCTTACGGAACTAAGCATGATGAAAGAGCAAACACAGTGTAAATGGGGTATTTTTCTATTAAAACTACGTTTGCAATTTTGAAAGATCCTCAGTTTTAGGCATCGACTAGCCATTTTTAGCTCCAACTGGTTTGTTAAAAACTGTCCATTCAAGGAAAAGATATAGCTGCATTTGACAAATTGAAAGGTTTTAGATTTTTAGCATGCTTATGCTTCTCTTTCAGCACCATCATGGCCAAAATTCGAGCATTTATCGTATAAAGATGATAAAAATAAATCTCTCCGACAGAGAATTGTGAGAAATGCATTGATAAAAAGCAGATAAATTACATTTCAACACAATTTGAGTTTCAGTTTATACAGATAAAATTCATATTAAGCATTCAATATTGAAGAAAATGTTATAAAAGTTTTCTGTACTGTAATGACAGTAATCGAAGCTTCAAAGAGATTTCTAGAAGCATCAATTTGCAACATATAAAAAGTGCAGCAGCTGCTGTTTTCCAATAAATTTAATCAAAAATAAACGTAATATCAATTAAAGCATATGGAAGATTAAAACTTTATCTCGTAGAACATGGACATCTGGTTGAGTTTCGTAAAAGAACAGACATATATTCATTAAATCTAAATTAATTCGCTGTTGATCGCTCTTGTACCGACTCTTTTCGTAAAAATGTCCACTGTTCTTATGAAAGTAAATTGAAGCGAACAATTCGTATTACCTGTGATAGAAAAGTTGTACTGATTTCGATAACTTTTGCCCCGTTTAAAAAAACCTTGCAAAACATGCAAAAAGTTTTTTGCTCTTCTATTTTATGAATTTTGAGTTTGAACAATTAGACTCTTTCATATTTCGTTGATCATTAACAAACAGTTTATTAACAATAATTCATTTTAAAGTTAATCTTGTGCTTTTTTAAATGTCGAAAAAACATGTGAGTTATATTAGCTTTACTCACATTAGCTTTACTGGTGAAATGTAGAGATTTATTGGTGAAATGTAGAGATTTATTGGTAAAAAATTTTGTAGAAATGTCAAAAGTTGAAAGAGAACTGCAAAATAAATAGAAAAAATGCGAGAAATTCTAAAGGAATACAAGTTTAGAATACCAGTCAAGGCTTCCGTGCTAGGCGTTGCATAACTGGCAGCCATCAAATTTAAAACGGCAGAATAAAGTAGCATAAAACTAAAGATTTTTTATTTAACGTGATTCTATTGATTTCATTTGGCTCTTAACGTTTTACAAAAGTGACGCAGAAAAATGTTAAAAGCGTTAAATACAATTAACTCTCAAATGAAAACCTCAATGATAAGAACCAATGTGAAGTCACTTGGGCGGAAGGTGCAATTGCCTCCTAGTTAGTATGTTAAATAGGCCCTGCGCTCGAGATCCCACAGATTGACAATAATCTCAGTTGAAGAATATTTGCTGTGATTTCAATTATTTATCATGTAAACCTATTGTGAAAGAGGTCAATTTAATGTAACTTGGGTAAGAACAAATAATTCAGAACAAAAACATTGGATATTTGATGTGACCATCAGCACATGGGCAAATTGTTGAAAAAAGTGTAGACCATTGATTCTGAACCACTGTGTCTTGGCAGACTACTCTGTCGTGGATGATTGGCATCTGTTGCATTGGAAGTTATTCAATTTCACTTAATTGGTCTTTTTTAGATTTTATCAATTACTTTTGAGCCTGATTATTGTTCACAATCAAACATTTTTTGAAAGGAATAAATCACTTTTTTAGAAATAATGATTAACTGAGAAATGTCTTTTACAAAAATCCTACTGACATGGCGAGATGGTTTTTGCAAATGATCATTTGCAAGAACAGGGAAACATAGGTTAATCGTAAAACCAGCGATCGAACCAAGAAGCAATTCGCAAGGCATTCACTTAGATTAGAAGCCTAATAACAACATACATAAGAGCAGGATGCAATCGGTCATAGATCACAAAATTGAGATACTGGGTACCACCAGGAAGAATGCTGAAGTTAAACATTCAGCCTTGAATTCTTTTAAAGGAGATGAACTCTTTAAAAGAAGGAGGGGGTGAGATGACGAACTCGTCAGAATAGGAGACAGCAAGCTTCCATGTTATTTAGTTTATCTTTCAAACAACAACAGCAACAACAACAACAACAACATAATTCACGTTACAGCAGGGAACGCAGAAATACAAAACAGCCCTGCTGCTTTTTAAAGATATTCAAAAACGTAAGTCAGCTGAAAATGGTACATTAATGTTTTCTTATTTTTGCCAAATTAGCTCTTGTTTATGGCCATTTAGGTTGAATAGCATCAGATCTTCGTTTGAAACGTTTGGTAATCCATGAGACCGCGATTTCACATTTGCACTGTCGGGAAGAGCACGCTTTTTACATCACTTGTATAGCAGAGCAGCAAGAAGTGTTCTGGAACAACATTAACCGGGCAAAAAGGGTTTAAAAATATTCCTAAAATTGTCCTTGATCTGGTGGAAGTTTAGTATAGCAAGATTTCAAATAGTTTTACATAGTGAAGGGTAAATCTCATTAGCTTGACTGGAGTGTAGACGGATAAAACCTATGGGCTATTTCTTGAAAAAGTCACAGAGCAGGGATCGTCTTGCCTCAATGTCGTGTTTGTCCCATTACGATAAGCAGTAGGAAAAGAAACGTAACTAAAATCTTTAAGTTCTTGATATGACTTGCATGCAGGTTTGTAGCAAATTGTGTCTTGCAGGCGCAAAGGTGAAAGCTGACTGTGAGCTATGAGTTATCGGAGAGCTAATCTTTCTTTTGTTCGGGTAATCTAGAGAAATATGATTAAAATAATTTTAAAGTGATTTGAAAAGCGTCGCTCCTATCGTCTCTGTATGAAAAACTCTCCAAAGCCAAGCTCATCAAAATCTTTCTGACACGATGTGCCCTTCCTTTTACGATTTATTACTAGTACAGCAGAATATTGCACATCTGTTTGTTGAGGCGCCAAGGCTATTTCAATCAATATAAAAGGGATATGTGTCTAAATACTAAGCAAAAAAAAAGATGTTTAAATGATCATATAAAATAGAAACTACCATAGTCTGGGCATTTTAACAGAAGCCAGTAGGTGTACCACCCACAAAAGCATGCCCACAAACCTGGAGACTTTAAAGACAGCCCTCGCAAACAGACCAACATCACATTCACATAGACGTTTGCAGAATCTTCGTGTAATCATTTATTGCCCATTGGTACGAAAAAAGCTTCAAGATGATTTGTCAAGGTTTGATTTTTGTTAGATTAGTTGATGTGTTTAGATACAGAAATTAATTGCCACACTCTCATTTGTAATCGATGACCCTCTAGGAAGTACTGTGCATCTGCTTGGGCCAATGTAGCAAAAAAATTTAAAAACTCTGCGTGAGTAATTACCATAACAGCTTCTCTAATAATAAAAAGCATTTCTGAACATGTTTACCATTTGCAGCAGAGAAAAGGCATTAATATTTGAGGTGCTTTAAAATAACATACTCTAAAGATTCTATTGAACATACAAAACTTCATAACATACTCTAAAGATTCTATTGAACATACAAAACTTTGTAAGAAGCCAAAAGAAGAAATTGCTAGTCTCCTTGCTTATATAGAACTACGGTTAATGAATGAACAACAAATGATGACAAGAATGATGAGAGTCTCATGCATCCCTGGAAATGATAAAACACTACACAAAATTACATCTGCCTGCAGAACACATTTCTGACACAGAACACAGAAATTTTCTTTACAGAATCAATTTGCAAACTTATCTACGAAAGCCTAACCACTGGTCTGTATAATTGCTTGATGAATTTACACTGCATTTCATTGAACGGAGGCAGCAAATGTTGAGAGCGCGTGTCTTCCTTTTTATGCGAAGGAACATTACTTATTTGTACCTTCAAACGATACTACTGTAAAAGATAATTAAGGGCAACAGCTTCAGCAGTTTTACAGGTCAAAATGCAGTGCCCCATCAAATTATTTTCAGGCTAATGGACGAAACAGGATCTCTCAACATGGAGGCAACCTTTTCTGTTTAGAAAATGCCTTCATTCTTTATGTTGATGAGCTTCTTATTGCTTAGCCTCGTCATGCCTTGCTCAAAACAAAGAAATATATTTAAATCTTATTCACACCATCAACAACGCCGCAATAGTTCTCTTGCAGTATTCATTTTCAAATTAGAAAATTCCTACTGACCAGATGCTATTCCTTGCTAGAAACCCTTAGCCTGTCTCTAGAATAACAAAAGTAAAACTTTGGAAAAAAGGTTTCTAAAGCAGGACATTGCATACTAGAAAACATGGTCACACACACTTAAGAATGGATTCAAAAGTAGCTGAAAGGAATGATTCTTACCAAATAATTACTGCTCAGTGCAGGCATATAGTCTAGGTTTTCATTGATTGATGCAGCTACCCAGTTCTCCATTTGTATCTAATAGCAATGCAAGCAGATACTTGCTACAGGTCTGTCTTAGCTATCTTGGTTGCACGTACTAAAAAAACAGCTGCGTTGAAAAATCCACAATCTTGCTTCTCTTATAATTTAATCTTAGCTGGAAAGCGCTCTTCTCTTTCTCCGATGCTTTGAACTGGATGATCGCGTTGCAATAAGCATAGGGCATATTCGAGACCAATTTATAGCCAGAAGCGGCGCGCAGATGGTCATCCCTAAATTAATAAGCTTTGAATAAGGAAGCACAGTTGCGATTCTGACTCATGGGCGCATGCTAATAAGAAGAACAGTTACTGTTGATTTGATCAGGTCACTTTGGGCAAAAGCAAATACACAACTTACAACAAACAATCAAGAGAGGACCATTTGTTTGAATTAGAAAAGAAACAGAAACACGGACCACCTCAAGAAATATAAGTATTTGCTTGCAAAGCTGCTTGTTGACGATTTTACTAGGTTATACATAGTTATACATAGTAAAACTTTGAATTCTCAACTCCCATTTTTAGATTTAGCTGCTAGTAACTAAACAAGCAAGACCGAGTTATAAGGCACATCACAGCGTATAAACAGGCTTTAATGAAAAATTATAAAAACTTAGATACCATAAAAGCATATAAAAGTACAAAATTGGTCAAATGCGGCATCAAAAAAAGATAAATTTTCACACCATGCTTTTTGGTAATAATTCTCTACAAACTTTACATTGACCGAAGACATACCCAGTTGATTTTACGTTAACGAGACAAAATTTATTATTTTCTTATTAAAATTTTTGCATAAGCTAATTTTCTTGCAGAAGGCACTTTCTGATGTAACCAAAACTAATGTTTTCATTATGTTGAAGTTTCTTTGGCCACGGTATCCCCAACAATTTGCTCCTTTATATCTTTTGTTCTGCCTACTGCACGGATTTTTTATACGTCGCCTAAAAACAGACAAATGAAAGTGTCATAATAAGCACATTGACTCATTAAAATGTAATTCGGCAATATGTCAACATTTGCTAGAAAGAAATAAACATGTCAAAACACACAGTGATGACCATTCTAGGCGTTTTGGAATCTGTCTACATCAAAACAATGATCATGACTTGTGTAGCCAGAAAGAATTCGTTTTCTATCTGTGACTCTTCAAATATGTGAAGGGCTACCAGTCACTTATTGGTCAAGAACAGATAATTAATAGAGCGTGCAATTCTTCATCTGACTCAATTTTCGAAGTTCATTTCGTTTAGCAACATACCTATAAGGTAACTATTAAGGAGGAACTTAATCAAAAACGAATCTATTATCAACATTGTTAAGTTGAAAAAGTATGGAAGAATGAACAAAATGTACGAAAACAACCTTGAACATTTATCGAGACGAGTTGCTATGTAGATTTTTAAGGATACGAAGTATTATTCATTAAATTAGTAGTACACCTGTGTTGCATTGGAAACAAAATTTTGAAAATAATAATGATATATATTGAGATGGTTTTTTTAGACTTGATTTGTCTGTTTGCATGCCGTCAGAGGTAGCAAAAAGCTATACACTTTAGAACATCTCATTTTGCAATAAGTTTTACTATGTTATGCGTTCTTTACTCTAAGAAGAGTCACAAAATGTGCGCTAAAACCTTATTACCGTGCGAACCTAATATGCATAAAGAAAGCATCACTTGTCTTGAGCTGAATCCTTTCAAGATTTTGTATCTACGTCTCTCGAAGGGATTTTCGCCAGACAGGTCTTGGATTGTTCCTTAAAGGAGAACTGACACGCAAAAATAACTTTGGCTTATTCGATGCAAAATTTGTCGCTGATTTCAAATCTGGAAAAAGTTTTCTTCTTAGATTCGCCGTTTTTCTGATATTTGCACTTTTATCCGTCAAATACGTCACAGCCAGGACTCGGGAATTTCCCGAAGCGGAAACAAGATTATCGCCAGGAGTTGTTAAAATTCTCGGTTGACGTCACAAGTGACATGTTAACAATGCCGTTGTAAAGGCTTTCACCGCAACGGTGAAAATACAAGTGAAGTTTCGTGTTTTATTGAAAAAAGTCCGCGGTGAAAAGACAAAAAATTGTCAGGCATTTCATTTATAAGTATATAGAGGCTAGAAAATCCTAGCTACATGTCTGCTAAGACGCTTATATCCACATAAAATTTATTTTCATGCCATGATATCTTCGAACCAGCATGCTTTGAAACATTGAAAGAACCTCTAAGCTTGTGAAAAAAGGAGTCGACTTTGTTTGAAAACTGATACCGTTTCTTCAAAGTTTTTATTTTTACAATTACAAAAAAATCGCAACATGGGGGGTGGGGGGTTGAAGCAGTAGCCAAAAGACAAACGAAATCTAGTGGAGACAGCGGTAAAAGCGATCCTGCAACCTGCTTTGGGTGCAGAAATATGAATTCAAGAAAAAACCTTGGTTGATGGGAGCTGCGAGTGTGACTAAATAACAATTTCACTGAACTTGATTATTGTATTTTAACAGAGGTTGAGATACTAGGGAATAACCTAGTCTTGCAAAAAGCCCATCCCCCACCCAAGTCAAAATTGCTTGCAAAAGAATATAATGCGCCAGTTGATATTCCTATGACAGCTAAACAGCATTTTCTTCGACTAAGAAATCAAGTTTTTGACTAAGAGCTAAGAGCCTATTTCGTAAATCCAGATCTTTCGACTGCCAGGTAACTTATCAGTTCCCGAAACCCTTCACGCCCGGTGAAAATGGCATATAATCCGCACAAGTCGGCTTTTAACCCACCTCTACTATTTAATATCACTATACAGTTAACGCGTTTAAAACATTGAAAAACAATCATAGAATGTTACATTAACAATTAATAACTTGCAGTTCCGTTTAGGGCATCATGGGCATTTTAGCCAATTTAGGCCATACAGACAAAGCAGTCTGGCCAAAGACGCCTCAATCTGAAATAAAATTCTAGTTTTACGATACCTGATCTCATTTAGATTGTAGCAATAGCATTATTTTTAATAGAAATTCTATATCAGTTTGTACTTCCAGTCTGTTCTTTGTTTACAATATCGTCACTGTTGAGCCATGGGACGACTGTCTGCCCAAGCGGCAGCGCTGGTTGGTAGCAAAAACTCAGACGGCTGAAACTCTCCATTTGTTTCGAAATCAGTGTAATAAAACTCCGATTCAGAGTCCCAAACTATTGAAAAAGTCAATTATGTGTCAAAAATGCAAAATTAGCTCCTTTCACATGCACAAAATAAACATTTGTCCGCAGCATTCTGTTAAAGGTTTCTATAGAGAAACACAATACGTGCTGAGAACATATCACTTGTGACGTCAAAGATGATCGTCCACTCGTGACGATTTTCGCCTCGAGTCTCAAGTTGTCGGAACAATTGTCGTTTCTCAACTTAAAACGCCTGTATTTCAAAAACGGTAACAGTGATTTAAAAAATTTTTTCGATCCTGGAATTTGCTTGTCACAAACTACCGTTTTAGCCAAACTTATTTTTGCGTGTCAGTTCTCCTTTAAAGCACTAAAATCACACACACACACGATACAAAAATCAGAGAAACAAGAAGATCATAAAATAATTTGGAAAGTTAGCAAATCGAAAGAAGCATTAAAGGACTCAAGTATAACCTAATAAAAGAACTAGAGGTGCCATAACAAAAAAGTTATTTCTCAACTGCTATCATCGATTTAAGGAACTATTTCTCATGTAACAGAGAGTTGATAAAGTGAAAATAATAGGAGAAAACTCCAGCGCTGTAACATATCTAGCTTTGAACAATTTCAACCCCTGCCGTGTGAAATCTTTAGCAATAGTCGCCAACGTTATAGATGCATCAAGCTATGCCTTGTAACATTATTAGTCACTATGAAATAGCCAGGTTTTTTTCATGCTCCACTAGAAAATTTTATGGGTCGCATCATCCCCCAAGCTCAAATTCTTCACCTGTTTTTAACCAATCAAGGAATAAAAACAAACAGTTGGTAGTGTGGAATAAAATCTTAGTACAAAAAATGTCTTTGTTACATTAATATATTTCTACGTACATTTTCTCGTTAATCTTGGATGAATTAGGAATCAAAAGGGTATATTTTATAAGCTTATGAGGCCATCGAGCCATTGCCGTTGCCACAGAGAAAGGAAGCTATTGAGCCAGAGATTAGTTGGAAAATTCTAATAAATCTGTATGATTAGGTCCACTATCAGGTAAAATCTTTCAATATTGGCTTAAGAATGCTCAAAGATGAAGTTGGGAGAAACTACAAGTTTTTGTAATGACACTACAGACCAATATGTTGCCTGCTGTTTACATGTTGTTTCAAAGGTTTGCATTAAATGAGCTGCTCAAATAGTTTGACTTAAATGGGTTTTTTTCGAGTGGACAGTCAGACTCTACAATTTTACTCTACACTCTAACATATCTGCTCAAAAGAACTGATGAAGACATGACGCTATTGACAATGGCTACAGGACACGTCCACTTTTTATTGGCTTTAGAAGGCCTTCGACGCATTCAGTTATGATATTCTATCTCAGAAATCATGATCCATGGACTTGGAGGCAGTACTTTACATTGGTTCTAGTTCTCTGTTTCTAACAAAGATTTTGTTTGGCTGACGGTGTAGTCTCTAAAACGGAGAAACGGGGTCAGTGCTCCATCAGGCTCATGTCTCGGGCCTCTTTTTTGGTCTATACCAATGTTGTTTTCCTTGCAACTATATATCCAGTCAATCAATTTAGGCTGTTGATTTGAACAAATCTAATCGTTACTGGCAGCATGCTTGATAAAGCAGATAATGCGCATTGACTCTTCTCAAACGGTAAATTCATTTTACGGAGATTGACGCATCTTCATTTCCACGTATTAATTATCTAACCGACAAATTATCAAAAGTATTACCCACCTTTGATCTTAAGAGTACATATCACCAGATACCATTTTGAGGTTGCAAAAAAAATTTGTTGCTTTTGAAGCACTCGGTGACCTGCAGGAGTTCGTTGTGTCATTGAAATGAGTGACAAATGAGGTTACGTATTTTAGTGGATAACAGAGACCCAAGAAAGTTTAACAGATACATTTCCTTTTTTGGATAATGTTACTTTAGCTTGCGTCGATCAATCTGGCCTTCAACGAAAGTTTCGTTTCGGCCTTCCTCGAAAAGGTCAAAAAAGGAGCATTATGAATACAAAACCAACTTCTCGGTTCTTGTCATTGATAGCATTAAACCAAATCCTAAACGGTTTGAGGCCATTCACATAGAACGTCCAAGCTGAAGGAGGGAGGGGGCTTGGTGAATCCGAATAAATTTTGACATAAGGGGAGGGGTGTTTATGCAATCCGGACGTCCAGGTTTCAGAATATTGGAACGAGACATTTCAAGTCTCAGTTTTCATTGACCTACCCTGGGTACCAGACTCACTATATATGAAATAAAATAGAGAGTCTGGTCTAGTGCGCCCCATTCTCGTTCTGGTGTGCTGATATTAACCAATCAGGAGCGAGTGTACAGGTTTCTGTACGTTCAAAGGTCACATCGAAACAATAAACTTAGCTTTGGTATAAAACATTGAACAGAACATAAATAAATGCTAGCGACCGTAACGATTGAGTTTAAAGATGCTGTTAAAACTGTACTCAAAGAATATTTTCCGTATGTTGTGGAACTAAACACAGAACAAGATTGAAAGCCTTGTTTGTAGAGAAAAGAGACACCTTCGCCATATTGCCAACTGGCTTTGGAAAGGCTCTGATATTTCAGGCTGTGCCTCTTTTTGCAAAGAAATTAGGCCTTGTAGTGAAATGCAGTAGATAAGAAACACCGCAAGGCGCCGAGAACAAACAACAACAAACACAGTAAATCAGTTATAACTAATATTTCGCCCGGCATACGGGGCTTCGCTTGTCGTATTGCCCATA